TCCTTGACAACCCACATACTTCTCTGTCCAAACCAAGCACCCCGATCACTCCCATACAACCTGCCACTATCAAAAACTCCTCCCCATGCAAACTATGCTCCGATAACACCTCTTCAAACCCCCATCCGAGCCCACCCCCAAGCCCAACTTCGAGCCACGCCTCTAGCCCAATCATCGACTCCTCCTCAAGCTCGTCATCCCCTTCCTCTCAACATCCTGTGACTCCACCCAACACTATTCCCTTACCATCATCTCCGCCACCCCCACTACCCACACATCCTATGACCACTCGAGCCAAGGCGGGCATTTTCAAGCCTCGCCACTTTGCCGACTTCTTTACTCTTACAAGCCAACCATTACACACTGCTTTGCTCGCTACTAGTGACCCAAAAAGTGTGAAATCTGCCTTAAACAACCTCACTGGGTTGACGCCATGAAACGTGAACTTGATGCTCTTCACAAAAATACCACTTGGACCCTTGTTCCACGTCCTTTAAATCGCCAGGTGGTGGGGTCCAAATGGCTGTTTCGCACAAAGTTCCATTCTGACGGCACCATTGAACGACACAAAGCCCGCCTTGTTGCTTAAGGGTTCAGTCAAACTCCTGGGCTAGACTACTCCCACACTTTCAGCCCTGTGGTTAAAGCTTCCACCATTCGGATCATTCTATCTCTTGCAGTTCTTAACAACTGGTCCTTACATCAACTGGATGTTAACAATACATTCTTGCATGGGCAGCTCACAGAGTGTTTATTCATGGAGCAACCTCCTGGGTTTGTTGATCCTCAACACCCAAATTATGTGTGCAAGTTGAATAAGGCACTTTACGGCCTTAAACAGGCCCCACGTGCGTGGTTTCATCGACTAAGCACCTTTTTAGTTTCTAACGGGTTTTCTTGTAGTAGGGCCGATACTTCTCTATTTATCTTTACACGTGGCGGGTGCATCATGTATCTTTTGGTGTATGTCGATGATTTAATTTTAACTGGAAATCAAGATGGGATGCTCAAAGAGTTTATCACTCAGCTTCACAATCACTTTGCTATCAAAGACTTGGGAAAGCTTAACTACTTTCTTGGTCTTGAGGTCTCCCATCTACATGATGGTTTGTTCCTAAGCCAAACAAAATATGCCAAAGATGTGCTTGAACGCGCTAAGATGCTTGATGCCAAACCGGCACCTACTCCCTTGTCACCAACTGCTACCCTCTCCTCGACGGGTGACCCATATTCGGATCCGACTCAGTACCGCTCTATTGTAGGGGCACTACAATATCTCACCATAATGCGACCTGATATCTCCTATGTGGTCAATCAAGTCAGTCAATTCCTCCATGCTCCAACCAATCAACACTTTCAAGAGGTCAAACGAATCCTCCGCTACATTAAAGGCACGCTCACGTTTGGTTTGACGTTCTCTAAGCCCACCAACACTTCCCTTCTTGGATATTCTGATGCGGATTGGGCTCGGTGTGTTGAGACACGACGTTCAACCTATGGCTACTCGATTTTTTTGGGCGGCAACCTTGTTTCTTGGAGTGCCAAGAAACAACCCACCGTTTCTCGATCCAGCTGTGAATCTGAATATCGTGCCATGGCCAATGCCGCTGCTGAGATCATCTGGATCACTCATTTGCTTCACGAGCTTCACACTCTTCCAGCGGTTCGACCTACACTCCTATGTGACAATCAAAGTGCTCTCTTCCTCACTCAAAATCCAATTGATCACAAGCGAATGAAGCACATTGATTTAGATTACCACTTTGTCCGAGAACTCGTTGCTTCCGGGAAACTTCACACCAAGTTCATACCATCAAAGCTTCAAGTTGCTGATATTTTCACTAAAAGCCTTCCTCGACGTCAGTTTGAGTTCTTCAGAGACAAGCTTTGGCTCGGCCCTCCGCCCCTCAGCTTGAGGGGGGATAACAGCTATGCAACTTGTCATAGTTAATATGTGTAGGGGCTGTTCCTGTATTTTTCTATTTCTTCATTCCTTTGTTGTATTTATTGTATCTATTTATAGTCTCCTCTGTTATCAAGGAGATCATTCGATCTAATTTACTATCAATTATTAATATTTATAACGAGGTTAGTAAAACTAAAAAAATAAGAATTCCATTATTTATTGATGTTAATTATGGGTTTTAAAAATATGAGTTTTTTCATAAATTATGATGTAGGTACGCCATTTAAAACCTCATGTAGAGCCACATTGGTTTGCAAGGTATGTATCGGTGTATGTGTTTTGTTATAAAGTGAATGTGAATTGATCATTGGTAAAGTGAGTTAAGTAGAAAAAAGAATAGGAGTTGGATTTATTATTATAATTTTGTAGCCCTTAATTATATATATTTACTAGTATTTGTGTTCGCGCTTTGCCGTAGATTCTTGCGTGTTTTTTCCGCATTAGGAATGACAATTGATTAAACTAGTATATCAAATCATATATAAGATGTAAAAGTATTAAAAAAACTAAGTTAGAAAAAAAAATTATTAAATGTTGGACAAAAACAGTAAAAAATTTAAAATTAGGAAAAAAATATGAATGTTTGGAAAAAAAAAAAGAAGAAAATCATATTATTAAAAATTGTAAATAAAACAAAATGGTTTGTCGGATTTTGATCTGGTTCAGAATTAGTCCGTAAAACAATAAATAGTAATTTTTTTCTCGAAAAATCCAAGTTTTAAAATTATTTTGTTGTATGATAATGAGCTTAACATCATAAATTTAAAAGAAATAAGTATAGTTTTTTTTATTTTTTATTTTTTTATTTTTTATTAAGAGTCGAAGAGACTGTTTTTGTAATTTGTGTAGATTATGAATAAAAGAAAGGAATTCATGGGCTATTTCTATAAACTTATACTCAATATTCAACAAATTCAATGTAAGTTGGATGGTTTATAAATAGAAAGTAAAACTGTAAGGGCTATTTGTGTAACTTATATTCAAAGCAATTGAAAGATGGTAGTGAGGCGCAAGGCACAATAGAGAAATCTATATTTAAATAGTAATTGAGTAGCTTGTATGGCTTGTACAACATGCATCATAACCTATATTACTAGCTTCAGTAATTGTAGACACAAAAGAAAATTTAAAATTGACAAAACTTTAAAAATGGTCCATGTGGTTTTCGAAAATATCAAGTTTAATCCTTAAGTTCAAAAAACCTCACAAATGGTCCCTGTGGTTTCAAAACTTTTAACATTTGGTCCTTCCGGCTCACTCCGTTAGCATTTCACCGTTAAGTAAGGGGCATTTTTGTCATTTCACTACCCAGGGACCATTTATGAGGTTTTGTATTACTTTTTTTTTTAAATAAATAAAATTTAATATGCAAGGGGTCCCACCCTCTCTCTCTCTCTCTTAGTTCGTCTCCTCCCCTTTCTCTCTTCTTCCCCATTCTTCTTCTTCCTCCAGAAAAAATCCCCCTGCTTCCCTGTTGTCTGCAAGCAAACAACTGCAACTCTGATGCCTGTCTCAAAACGACCTTCAACAAATTCTCTTTCTCTACATACGCTTCCTTTGATGCGTTTTCTGATTTTCCTCCTCGTGTTTGAGGATGTCTTAGAGCTTCCAATATCATTCCCTTGTTTGGTTCACTCACAGGGTTTGGTTTTGCAGGCCTTTCGTTAAAGAATACAGACCATTTATACTTTTCTAAAGAACCAAATGATGGTGATTTTGGGGTTAATGACTCCATTTGATTCATGTAAGACTTGATCTGATAACCATAAACAGTAGATGGTTGATCATCGAACCCAACAGAATCCTGGGATTCGAAGACCATTAGAAGATGATTGAAAGCGAAGGCTATGGTATCGCTTTTCACCAGGGTCCATCACATTGGGGTTTTGATCGTTGTGCATACGATTCTAGTATTTGCTTTTGATTCGATAACAATGAAGACGAGCTTGGGCCCTGGTGAACCCAGTAAATCGATTCAGTGGTCGTTTGCACACTATGATGTGTTGTTGTCTTTGAATTCATGTTCGCCTTTGAATTTATTCCGAGTAATTTGTCAAGTTTTATTGTTTTTGCTTCCTGCGTTGGTTCACCATGGTAATAAGATATCATATGAATGTTCATCTTTTATGGATTGACCATCTTTTCTAGATTTGATCTTGGAAGAAGATGATTCTCATTACAATCATGTGAATTTATTCATTTTGAAACAACTGAACCCAAATCATCTTTTCCGACGATCTGCCACCATGGAATTAATACCTCACTGTTTTTCTCAATCTCGACCTAGCGTTGTTGCTAGCTGGTTTTTTGTTTTGTTGGGAAGAAGGAATTTTTCATTCCGATCCTGTAGAAGTGTTATTAACTGGTTTTCACTCTTTCAAAAATAAGCAAAGAAAACCCCCAATAGTTACGATGGTTGTTGTTGCAACGTAGATGAAGATTTGAGTTAGATTAGGTCTAAAAAAATCGTGATCAGTAAAAGGGAAGCGGGGGGGATTTTTTTTCTGGAGGAGGAGGAGGAGGAAGAAGAAGAAGAAGAAGAAGAGAGAGAGAGAGAGAGAGAGAGAGAGAGAGAGAGAGGGTGGGACCCCTTCCATATTAAATTTTATTTATTTAAACAAAAGTAATACAAAACCTCATAAATGGTCCCTGGGTAGTGAAATGACAAAAATGCCCCTTACTTAACGGTGAAATGCTAACGGAGTGAGCCGGAAGGACCAAATGTTAAAAGTTTTGAAACCACAGGGACCATCTGTGAGGTTTTTTGAACTTAGGGATTAAACTTGATATTTTCGAAAACCACAGGGACCATTTTTGAAATTTTGTCTTTAATATTTTTATATATTTATAATTATATATACACTTAATTGTGGGGAGCTTAAAGTTTTTCATTCTTTCAATTTGGTCACAAAAAATATCCATTCTTTGTTTTTGTTACCTGGTATTTTCTTTTATTGACTTTTGCCACAGTATTATTGGGTTTTTTTTTTTTTCTTTTGGGTCCTTTCCTTAGTGACTGGGTTTCTGTGACACCTACTGGCTTTGGTTCCTGTGCCGTTGTGTACACGTGCTTTGTTTGGGTTTTCTTTCGGGCCCACTGATCCTTACTTCGTCTCTTTACTCTGTTTCTTCTTTCTTCTTCTTGTATGTTCTTCGTTTATGGCAAGCAGGTAAATTTTCCCCCACCTTTTTTCCCCGTAATACCCTTTCTTACTTTGCCTCCATCGTCATTGCTTATCTCTCTCTACTTACCATCTCCAGTTGAATGACTCCTCCATTTGACCATTCCATTCGTAATCGGTGGGGCAAAAATAGATCGGAGAGGAAAACGAAGAAATCGCTAACGCCGTCGTCGTGCGGTTGTGGCTTCTCAACTTTCATCGACGGCCTGTAACGACCCTCCCTCATTTATTCTGTATCCAAAGGTCTTTGATTAATCAGGAGACAAGCAATGAACGATTCTTTGTGATTACTGATGAAGTTATCGATTGATGCCCTACCCCTCTAATCAGATAAGCTTCTATTCTAGGTTCTTCTTCAGTTTTGATTCCGATAAAAAGCATCCCCTTCATGGTCTCTGATTCTGATCTTTACACACTCTACCACTGTGTATTCCATTACAACAAAATCGATTGGGTAGGGACAAGCAAAATCAGCTCATAATTTGAAGTCGATTACTTCTGTCACCGTTGGGGAAGAAAACTGCCAACCACCATCACCACAATGATCTAATACACAAATCCTAAATTTCAATGAGGTAAACATTCAAAAATGGATTGTAAAGTTCTGAATTTCCTATGTTTTTTGCTCATTTGAAATATGGATTCAGGTTGCACACCAATTGTTTGATTTAAGTCCTCAAAGAAATTAACTCTTTTTAGATCAACAAAGGGGTTGATAAGCTTATTTTCCTACATCCGCCTTAGCAACTGTTATTTTAGAGGTACGCTTTCTTTTTTCTTTGTATCTATCTCGACTTCCATCCAAACCTGTAAGCCAAATGTTGACAACGAGTGGAGGAGAGCGGGTGTTATTTTAAATGTTTTTCTTATTCAAATATGAATTTTATCTTATTCTAGTGGAGGAAGGAGGTGTCATTGGAGACTTATCTTCTAATTATCTTTGGTGCGTAGACCCTTTGGGTATGTGATTCAACAATCTTTTTAGTTATATCAAAATCACATTCACCTGAAATATATACTCATTTCTTTCAACTATATAGACGGGGCAATAGATTCTGGTCATGGGTATCCAAGCTTTGCAGTCTCTGTGAGAGTGCTTTTCAAAGGAAAGCCTGCAACTACTGGTGTGGTATATATAATATCATATTCACTTCTTTAATTTAATGGCTCAAATGTATGAAATATCTTTTAAAATTGTTATCGACCTTCTTTACATTTTTGTTGGTAGGTAGAGTTTGTTAGGGATCCCATGTGTTGGAACACACACACATTTTCTGCGGTTTCTGGTATGAAGTAATTATTTTGATGAATGTATTGTATGCATTTTTGTTATGATTACGATTAATTAGGTATAAACTATATATTGATTATTTATATTTTTATGTATTTTTAGGTGTGGAGGTGCCTTTTGTAATGGGCAAAAAATTCATGTTAGGTGACACTGATAAGGTTGAACGATCTCTACTGGTGGTTGAGTTTGGATATGAACATGATGGTCCATGTGCTGCCAATATGAACTTATTCAAAGAATTTACTACATCAGCCGGGTAAAAAATTTAATTCTACTATTGATATTTCTATTTTCATTTTCTTATCATTTATGATAAGGATTGAGATTTTTTAGGGAACAAGAAGATTAGGTGCAACTGCTGTAGATATGTGCCACGTGGCTCTGGGCATTGTAGAAGAATATTGGGAATATCGTCTAAAGCCATAAGATATGGTTGCTGGTGTTTTGGTAATGCTATTTAATTATTTATCCTCAAATTTAGTTTAAAAACTTTATTTTAATTTTGCAATATTTTGAACCAATAGTAATAATTATAATACTTATAAGAATAAATTACATTTTTAGTTCCATTGTTTAGTCGGTTTTTACAATTTTTGTCCATATTTAATTATTTGGTCCTTCCAAGTAACTGACTATTATTTTGGGATTAAAATTGCAAAAGTAAGCCATACTTAGGGACCAAAAATAGTCATTTTTCTTGGAACAGAGACCTCAAATAAGGCCCAAATTTGCAAAAGTAATAGTAATGGTGACGATAGTGGTAATTACTATTATTATTATTATTATTATTATAGCTGTAAACTATTACAGTAACAATAACAACCGACATTGGAAGAACATAGGTAAATAGTAAATACAAATTTATTAAATGATTTAGTTTCTATTCTATTATATTGGAATCGTTCATATTCTAAAAGGTAGGACACCACACTAATGAATAATAGGTTACTAGATATAATCTCAAAGCTAAATCTTAAAAAAAAAATAAAAAAAATAAAAATTTGGAGACAGGAGTACTGGAAGGTGGGAGGGGGTAAGGTAAAGTTGAGATAGGATCAACCGCCACCCTTCCACATAACAATGTATGTTTAATCATGTTTAACTTTGGGCCTGTAAATTGACCATTATTGCCCATATTTGATATTTTCTTTTCTTTCTGTTTCTAGAGTTATTAGTTGTGTGGGCCCACGGCCTCCCACACAATACATAATTTTATAAAATTGAAAAGAAAGAAATATTAGTTAAGGGTTTAATATTAAGTTTATATTAATAAGGGGTGATTCTTGCGACAAAATAGAACCACAGGGACAATTTCCGTCATACCAAACATTATTAAAAGCTTTTAATTTAGTCGCTTCATGAGTTATGCATAACAATGCCCAGGTTTGTCAATATTGTTATTTTTCTTCGTCTATTTCACATTATTAACTCTGAATTTACAAATTTGTCCTTTCTCTCAACAGCTAGAATTCGGTTGTTGGTAATATCCACAAAATGACCATCTTTGTGAAAATAGTTAACATTGTTTTTAATAAAGGGTAATAATGTCAATATGTCATCTATTTCAGACTATAAACAACTTTCTTTTGTTTGGTTAATCTTGGACCAATCGGATAAATAAGTAACAACTGGTTCCAAATAGTTTGTTGCTGTACCAAATATGGCTTACATAGTTTAAGTATCCACCAATAATGACATCCTACTTTCACATGACTTCTTTCTTTTTTGCTTATGGTCAGTTATCAAGTCCACTACCCCGGAAATACATGTAAACTTGATGCACCAATAAAGTTCAAAAATCCGAATTTGAGGAGGAAATTAAGAGGGCATCTTCACCATAATGCACCATGTCCATCTCCAAGAAGCAACAATAATTCAACAAATGAGGTGTTGACACTTGACAATAGAGGTTTGAAATTAAAAAATTCCTGCGAGATCGATTGAATGCCGGGGCTCAGGGAGTCTGGTACTTTAATCTTTGAATATAGTGCTCTATTATTTTGATCTTCGACACTTTGCTTATTATTCATTGCTCTATTTTGGTATCTTATAGGTTTATTCACACCGCAAAAGAAATGCAGCATTGAGACTGGGAAGGACAAAGTAGTAATTCCTCATTATTTTATTTTATAAGTTGGTGATATATGCTTTTTTGAATTGTAAGATGATTCATGAATTCATTTTTAATTTACAAGGCTATCTGATTATGTTTGTTGTGAACATGTATTCTTGCAGAAACTTTCAAAATATGATTTTTGGACGAGTTAAGGACTACATCGAAATAAATAAGAACATACTATTGATTCATTTCTTATCTGGTTACCAGACTACACAAAAGGTAATCTAATGGACATGTTTTTTTTTAAAGGTATGGCTTTTATGGATCCGTCAAAGTTCTTTTAGAGAACCTATGGTATGTCTCTGTCAAAGTTCTAATGTTTTTTTGATGTGTTTACAGTCTTACTGATAAACGACGACTTAAGCTTACCTTTTATTATTATTATTATTATTATTATTATTATTATTAATAAAAAAGAATAAAACACAAACAACTGTCTCATAAAATTTCTATGCTTCAAGTATTGAATCAGGTCATTTTATTTGTTAATCCATATTATTTTCCAATTTTTTATCACAAGGGTTGGGTAAATAATGCTGACACTTGACAATCGAGGTTTGATTGCTGATGCTTTCATAGAGGAGGATAAGAGGACAAAGGGGTTGTTACCACATACCAGAATACATGCACAGATTACACAGTACAAAGGATCGAAGGTATTCCCTTTTCTTGAATCTTGATAGCATCTGATAATCAAAATAATATAAAAGTTAGATTCTTTATGTATTGATATTGTGCACAACTTGGTATGAAACGTGTGTTAAAAACTATCACTATATATTTTCAGGCTGCAAAATATATTGCTTCAGATATATGAAACCTCAGTTGCTGAAATGTTACATCACAAAACCAATCAGAAGGTATTTATATCTTTTGGCTCTCATTAATTTAAATGTATCTTGCAAGTTGTACCCAAGCTTTGGACTTCAAATCAAAAGTAGGGTGTATGGATCCAAGTTTGTAAACTTAAATGTAGTAAACTTAACAATCCAAGAAAAACAACACACGTATAAGAAAAAAATTACTTTATTCATTTATATAATGCTCATTACAACCTTTGATGCCAAGCATCTATCTTGGACCGGAGAAAGATATGTTGTATATTGGGTGTTTGTTAATTATGTTGTATGTGATTGTTCCTCATCATAAATACGTTGTTATTATCTTTTTTGTTTGTCCTTTACGTTTTATTATTAAAATGCTTATTTAATCAAGAAAAACAATCTCATAAAAAATATAATAAACTTCATAACCAAAATTTAGAAACGGTTCACTGAAACTTAAAATTAATGATTTACATTTCATAAAAAAAACACTCATTCTCCAGAAAAGACATAAAAAGTTCGCATGAAACATGATTTGAAGTCCTTAGTAACGGAGGATATAAAGAATTTGTAGGATTTATCAAACCACTTAAATATAAAGTAACGAAGATAGGAAGTGTTCTTTACTGTAACCATTTATGTTTTTTTTATACCAATGTACTATCATATTTTTTAACTATAGACAAATTTGGTAATATACTTTCATTTCTTTATAACTAGTCGCTATATCAGATTTTTGTAAAACTATGAAGATTTAACATTGCATTTTAGTGAAAAGGTAAAACAACGTCTATGCGAAACATGGGCTTATTTCCTAGTTAACATTAATAGTAGTTAAAAAGTAATAACAATAAAATTTTAGTTTATCTATTTTCACGAATAAACCATAGATAAATACGATTAAGATAATGTAGTTTTACTATATCTTTTAGCTTATGAAATATTTAAAATGTTTTATATCAACTTAATAATAAAATTATTATTTTATAATCATAAATAGTTTTTTTATCATTTATTTATCAGTATTTTATGTTTATAATTATACCTAGTTATATATATATATATATATATATATATATATATATATATATATATTTTTCCCCCAGACATATATGTCAGTTCCATAATTAATTTTCCTCCAAAATTTATTTGTTATTTCCCGCCAATGGAAATTCCGCCCCCAAATGAAATTATATTTCCCCAAATATATATATATATATATATATATATATATATATATATATTTGGGGAAATATAAATTTCATTTGGGGGCGGAATTTCCATTGGCGGGAAATAACAAATAAATTTTGGAGGAAAATTAATTATGGAACTGACATATATGTCTGGGGGAAAAATAATATGTAGCTATTTATCATAGGATTAAGAGTAAATTACAAGTTTGGTCCATATACTTTAACACAAATATATAGTTTTTGTCCATGTTTTGAAAAGTTAGTATGGATGTTCCCCTCCTTTTATCGCTTGCAACTCTGCTTCTCATTCAACTTTTGTTTTCTTTTAATTTATGTTTTGTAGATGTCATGTAGATCAGGTTTCCAATAAACCACAAAATCATCTCGTAGTGAGCATCATTGATTTGGTTGGTTTGAACTTATTTTTAGGAGATTTTCTAGGTTGGTTGCAGATGAAATGATGGGCATTCTAACTTTTTCGGTTTGAACTCATTTTGTAGGGTAGTTTTTTAGTCAAAAGACGGGACTTCTGATTTTGTTTTCATTTTGATTAGGGTGTTGTTGTTTTTTTTTTTTTTTCGTGAAAGGATGGCAAAAGTATCTCTTTTTAGTGAGTGAGATAATATCCACTTTTGTTTATTTTAATTTTAGTGGGTATAGAGTTGGTTTTGGAACGAAAAATGGATTTTTGTGATATTTAAAGGATCAAAGGTGATTTTTATTAGCTACCCTTTAGTGGGAATATTTGGTGTTTGGGACGTCCTCAATCCAGCTTACACAGTTAGACGCAACATTTTGGAAACAATGGTGGTGTTTGCTTCAAAAAGTATTGGCTTAATCTCTCTAAGTTCTCATATAAATATTGGTTCTAAAGTAAAAGAATGTTTCCTTCTCTCTCTCTCTCTCTCTCTCTCTCTCTCTCTCTCTCTCTCTAGACCTGGCAATGGGGCGGGTTTGGAGCGAATCGATCTTGATCCAAACCCTTTTAACAAATTCCAAAATCCGATCCAAACCCGCTCTGTAATCTGCAGGGTTTTGAATAATCAAACCCATACCCTTATCCACCGAATCAGCAGATATCCAAACCCGCCCCGTAACCCGTAGGTTTTTTGAATAATCAAACACATTTTACTTAAATCATAAAATCACATTTATTAAATAAAACAAATGTTGATTTAGAAAACACATTATGTACTCATAGACTTTCGATTGAAATTAAAATCATTATCGTAGTTACTTCCGATTGGTTTTTGACCGTCGGTTGCATTGATAGAGAATATGAATTATAAACTTTCTTCCGGTTGATAAATGAATTTATTAATTTATAAATGAAATTGGTGATTACATGGTGAAATATAAATGAAATGACATCATAATTCTTGGGAGAATACGGGAAGTCTAGAAGTTGAGTCCTCGAGTCCTATGTAAAAACAATCTAGTTTTTGACATTTTCTCTATGGACTTTCGATTGGAATTTAAAGTAAACTTTAAGCAGTATAAACTATAAATGTATGATTCTAAAATTTATATAGGACGGGTTATAAATGGAGCGGATCGGTGATGGTCTATACCCGAACCCTTTTAATAAAAGGGTTAGCTGGTATGGGTCGTTAACGAGTAAACGGATCAAAAACTGTGCTCCAAACCTGTATAATTGTTAAGGGTTTGGATCGGATCAGGGTCAAAACTTGCTCCATTGACAAGCCTCTCTCTCTCTCTCTCTATATATATATATATATATATATATATATATAATAAAGAAAAAAGACTAAAAATTCTAGAAACCATTATTTTTAATGTAAAATTAAGGGTATATTTGTCATTTCTCAAACAAAAAGTTGACAAAACCGTATAATGTTTTTTTTATTATATATATATATATATATATATATATATATATATATATATATATATATATATATATATATATTATATATATATAAAATAAAGAAAAAAGACTAAAAATTCTAAAAACCATTATTTTTAATGTAAAATTAAGGGTATATTTGTCATTTCTCAAACAAAAAGTTGACAAAACCGTATAATGTTTTTTTTTTATTTTTTATTATAGTGTTTAAGATCTTAACTAAATTGGTATAATCTTAATTAATAAAAGTAAAGACTTTTTTTGTTTTCCTCGTAACCAATAATATGAAGATTAAGAGAAAGATAAAAAGTTTTTTTTTAATATTTTATAAGATTAATATATTAACTAGAAATAGTTAAAAATGAATTAAGAATCAATTGGAATTAATCGCTAATTAATTCTATATTATTTATAATTAATGAAGGGTGGAAGACTTGAATTGCAATTGTAAAATAGTTGAGCAAATGTGGTAATTCTAGAACCTCACTATGATTGGACAGATTTGAGAGGTTCCAGATATATTTTGAAAGCCTCCAATATTTGATAAGGAAACATATTTGAATTAGGATAAAATACTATTATTTCATTATTCCAATCATGGTTTCTAGTAGCTATAAATAAGGATCATATCCCTAGTAGAATTGATCCCTACATAACCAAGAAAGAGAATTTGGTTTTCATCTCCTCCTCTCTCCCATGTTTTGATCCGAGGGTGTGTACGGTTTTGGGTGTGAACCATTAGAGACATCCAAATTATTAGTGCTTACTTTTCAAGAGATAACTCAAGGGGATTGTTTGTTTTACTAGGCTTTTGCAAATGATATGTATTCTTACTTGTAATTTTCGATTTACATAGGTTAGAACTTTGTTTCATATGTATGTTGCTATAACATGAGAAAATCCATATACTTCTTGGTTGCTTGTACCCATGATATGATTATGAATCCATTGACTAAATATTGTTGTTTGTAACCTAGAAAAGCCATCAGTGTTATCAGAGCCTAGAGTTTTCTGTTATTTGTGCATATATCAAACTGGAAATTAATACCTTAACAAATAAAAATTGTCAATCGCAGGACGTGGCACGGCTGGCTCCTACGACGACGTGGTTTTGGCTGGAGTAGGGTTTCAGGATCGATTTACTTGCCTTTTCGAATTGTAGGATTATCTAATTTTGCTGATATTGAAGATAATTCCGACAATATTAGTGAAATTAGTGATCTTGAGGATTTTGATTGTTCCCAGTTGTCTATTGTTAATGTTGCATCAACATCTAAAGGGAAAGAAAAAGTTAAGGACTTGATGGTTAAGATAGAAACTGATAAACCCTCAACTTCGAAAGTTTGTGATTTGGACTTCGTGGACATCAGAGAAAGTCAAACTGATGATAGCGATGATGAAAATGAAGAGAAAATTTCGAAGAAAAAGAAATCTTCAAAGGAAGACGAAATTCCTCGAATTGTGGTTGATCAAGTGCATGGTGATACACAAAAGTTCGAAAAAGTGATGAATGAACAAGGTGCTCACTTTCTTGAAATGAATACTGTGGTTTATCCAAATTTCAAGTGTACAGATGATGTCATTTTTCCAAATCAAGTATTCGTAACTACTGGAAATGTTGAGAATATCAAACCAGAATTAAAGAAGCTAGTTGAAGAAGATAATTTGAAAACAACTGATGAAGGTTTCTTCGCAAATCAAAGCACAATTGAAAACAACCTAACAAAGAATTCGTACGTTTTTCAACGTTAAAAACCACAAAGAAAATGGGTTGAAAAATCAAAAATTGAAAAAGAGATTTCAAAACCAGTTGTAGTGGACAATGAAAATGTTGTCAAACTAAACTCCAAGAAATTCAAAGATCAAATTGACAAATTTTCGAAAGAAAATAACATTTCAAAAAGACAAGCTAGGAAGAAAATATTTTGGCAGACTATTGAGTCTCAAAAGATGTCAGAAGAAACGACAAAAACTGATTCAACAACTTTTTCAGACAAAAAGAAAAAAACCGCTCAAACAAATAAATATATGTCTGAATCTCATTCACTCAAAAATGTTTTCAAAGCTAAAAATTCAACTTTTTCAACAAATAAACAACCTTCATCTCAATCAAATCATTCAAGGTCTGAAGTGAATAAACAACCAAAGTTTTCGAAA